AAACTCCGGTATGATAATTGCTATTCCTATTTTTCCTGTTGTGTCTTTTGATGCATCTGTGTAAATCTGAACATAGCTATAATAATTGTTTATATATTCCTGTACGGTATACGAGTTAAAACTGAATCTTTTTTCTTTTCCATAAGTGTTAAATCTACTTTTGCAGTATCCATGGTGGTATTGTTGGCAACGGTACTATTGGACTTATTATGTTTCTTACTTGAACTTCTTGTACCTTCTGATCAATTACCCAACCAAAGCTTCTCGTTTCTCTTTTTACTTTTCCCCAACATGGCTTTAAAATGTCTAAGTTGGATGATCTGGGTTATTTCCTTTTAAGTTGATCCAGTAATTTATTGTTAGCTGTGTTCTTCTTAATTCTAAAGACATGTCTCCCATCTCCACTTTAAGTGCTGCTGTTCGTTCTGAATGCTCCCGTACAGATTCTTGGTGCTTCGTGTTGGATATTTTCAAGTTTCTCCAGATGTGTTTTTGCTGCAGATCCATAGACTGCATGGCCATAATCTATAATTGATCTGATCAGTCCGGTGTATATTCTCTGTAATGCTGTTCTGTCTGCTCTGTTTACCGCCAAACATCTCATGATATTTAAAACCGTTTTACATTTATCTGTAATTTTCTGTGAACATTCCATATTATTTTCTGATCAAACCACATTCCCAAAAACTTTATCATCTTAACTCGTTCTATTTCTTGATTATATAGTTTCAGTTTTTTTAACTTCTGTGATTCTTTTCTGTGTAAATATCATTGTCTTTGTTTTTGCCTCTGAAAAGTTAAACCCCCAGTCGATCGATTGCCCAGATTTCTATTTTATTAATAGCCTTCAGTATTTTCTCTACTGTGACGTCTATATTTCTACATATTTTCCAAAGTGCCCCGTCATCTGCAAAGATTGAGCAGCCCTTGTTAGTTACTTTGTTGATTGTTGCCAGCTCCCCGGTGTTGGCCCCGCCCACACTCACCTGTTCCCGTTTGCCTCCCTGCCAGGTGTTTGTGATTCTGTTCATTTGAATTTTCTTTATAGTCTGTGTTGTCTGTTCCGCAGTTCTCCCTGAGCTTCAGGGAGGTCTTGGTAACAGGTCTGTGTTTTGTTTTGTTTATTAAATTATTTATTTATTTATTTATTTATTTATTCATGTTCAGTTTGCAACTGGGTCTGAGCTCCACCAACACTGACGCACACACACATTACAACACAGTGATGGTGAAACTTTGATAGTTTGTTGATTTTAAAAAAATGACTCGAACTTTGAAGTTCTACAGGACGTGTCAAACTCAAGGCCCGGAAGCCAAATCCGGTCCTTGTTAGCATCTTGTCTGGGCCTCCACGTGACATTTTAAATCTAAAACGTGTTTTATCGCTTCTCATTTCGCTCGAAAGCCCAGTATGCTTTGTTCAGTGCAAACGTCTCATGATGGTCAACTTGGAAGGCAAGAAAGGTTTGAGTTTTTCAGTAATCTTTGATTTAGAGCAACAAAGAAAGTGGAATGAACATCCAACCAAGACGAGATGTCGCCTATCTGACTTGAGCTAACGACTGATTGAAAGTGGCCCCTGGTTTTGGCCCCCTTTCATAACAAAGTTTGACACACCTGGGCAGCCATGATGGAACAGCAAAAGAGAGGAAAACATGACTAATATGCATTTTTAAAGCATGAAGCACAAACAGGAAGAGGTTCTAATCCATAGTTTCAAAATAAAAGCTCTACCTGAATACATGCGGCTCTGAACCACCGCATCAAGACGAGCCACAGAGTTCTGGACTTCACCTGAGAGTCCTTCAGTCCCGTGGCTGATCATTATTGGGTCTGTCATGTTGAAACACAATAGCCGCCGAACTTTAGCTGCCTGCAGGATGACCTCGGCTGTTCTATCAAGAGAAGTTGGATAAAAAGACATCAAATCCTCCTTGAGGCCTCCTGGATCTGTTGAAATTTTCCTGCTCAGGGTTCTGCTGCACAAACCCATCCCCACCTCGGTAACTTATTCCACCAGCCGCATGTTTGGATCAGTCCTCCAGATTATTTGCATTTACCGCCCGATGGGTGTTTGTGAACGTGTGAATCGTCGTCCTCACGGTGAAGTCTTCATCAGAATCCAGTCAGCGGTGCACAGACCTGATGAAAGGGTTCTTTTATCTGATGGCGTGAAGATCTTCACACAGATTTATTCATGAATCCTGTCGTTTCTCACTTAATGGTGTTTCGCCTGATCTTAGGAAAATCCAATACTTTTGTTATGATTTGAAGGTTTTTTTTATTTCTTTATTTCTTCTGCCTTTTTTGGTTGAGACGGTCTCGGTCTAGTTTTATTGTCTGACTCAGGGTTTATTAAATTAAATAGATTAAATACAAGAAGCAAAGGTCAAGGCTGGTGGAGCTGAAGCAGAAGAAGTGATCACTAAAGCTGCTGCAGTTTTTAATTTAACAACAACCGGGTTGTTGTTAAATGACGAGGCACTTTGTTCAGCTGCCTCTGCAGCCGACACAACACGCAGCTGCTTTACGCTTAAAGAGCAAGTCTGAACATTTTCCAGTGGAGTTCATGCATAGTTAATATGTTGCCTGCTGTAGATAGTTTGTTAAAAAGAAGGCGACTGGACTTTGTCTTGTTTCTGTAAGACCTCTCATGCAAAAGAGACGAATTATGGAACCAAGAGAAGTCAGCTGCTTTGAATGTTATCAGCCCATTAAATGGTCGTTATTAGTTATCGTCCCCATATGTAGCGTTCAGACTGTCCCTCCTGTACCTCCTGGCAGGTTTAAAGGTACGTTCTTATCGCTGATAATATGCAGCTTTGCCCGGATCTAAAACCGGAAGGTTTTTCTTTTAAGCATTTATTTAACCTTTTTCCTATATTAATCTTACACCTGACCCAGAGCACTGACCCTTAACTAACCCCCTGACCCTGCAGCGATAAGAACGTACCTTTAAACCTACTAGGAGGTACAGGCGGGACAGTCTGAACACAACCTATTGGGATGACGACAACTAATAACGACCATTTAATGGCTGACAACATTCGAAGCGGGTGGAGAAGTCCAGTTTTGTTTTATTTAACCTTTAACTAAACATATTCAGCGTCTGGAAAAATAGTTTAACTGTGACCAGATTGACGGGCTAACAGCTAATAATCTTAAATTTGATCGCGAGGATCCTAATTTTATAAATATTTACGATGTCATCAACTTTGCGCTTTATGGTTGTTTCATTTTGTGGTTACTTGCTGGTACAAGTAGCGATAGCAGCAGCTAAATTTAGCTTTGTGTGGCACAGAGTGCTTCTGTAAATATTTATAAATCAACATCTCTGAACCACTGTGAAAGGTTTAATACTGAAGGTGATTTAAGGTGGAAAACCTGAGTTTTGAACAGGACGGAATGAGCTAATAACAATACCGTAGCCAGGCCACTGTCAGAGTGAATTTCTGCTCCATTAAACTTCAACAGTTCATGGCAGTTTGTGCAAACATTAGTTTATAAACCTTTATTCTTCCGAAGTTTCACATTGTACCACTCTTTTGACAAAAACATCCTGCAGGAAGTGACTTCAGCTAGCTTTAGCAGTTAGCAGTGAAGCTGTTATTGCTACGTTCAGCTGTGAGACGCCATTTCTATTAAGAGTGATGTCATCGAGTAAAATGCAGCAACTGAAAGATTTCTTGAGTTTTATCCAAGATTTAAACTCAACTCCTCCAAGATGAGGTTGTTTAAGGAGCCTATCTACAACAGGTAAGATATTGTTTATAATTTTTCCACAGCAATGTTCCAAAATGTCCAAACTAACAACCAACTGCACAGCAACTCTGCATCCCTCTAAAACAGGGCTCGGTGCAAATCAGACCCACGGGTGAACTTAGTTTGACCCACCAGTGGGTTCATTTTTATATAAAATTAGATTTTAAATTATAAAACAAGCTGACTAAATGAGAATAACTGCTGGATGTCCAGTCCCTGAGTTCTTGGTTTTCAGTAGTGACCCTTCGAGCAGCTTGGTTGAATAGCCCTGCTCTAAAAGAACCATTTATTACTCGCTATGTTTTGTGCACTTAAAGCCAGGAACGCGCTGTGACATTTAGTATCACAAGTTTTTATTACAAAAATTAAATTCTTCATCTGTCAGTTTTGCCATGCTCAGAGCTTATAACAATACGGTAAAAAACCCGGACCCAGAGAAGATAGTAAAGCAGATTTGGACAAAGCTTTCACAGCACTCTGTCAGTCATGCTGTTACTTTACAGACACTGGAACATTCCTAATACAGAGGAGTACAAACACCTGCCAAAGAAAAACACACCGTCGTGTCAGAAACCAGAACTAAAGTTACATTTACCAGTGAGAGAACGGGCACCCCAGCTCAGGAGAAGAAAGAAACACAAACCAGAAAACGTCACGTTTGCAAATGAAAACTGACCGGGTGTGCTGAAGTTCTGCACCAGCCCAAGGCACCCAGGCTTCGTAGCAATGTTGGCAAGTTCACGACATTCTCACGGAAACACTTGAAGCGAACGATGATTACAGACCGGCTCGTACCACGGGCGGACTCTGCAGTGTCTTTTCGTCCTTTGCAGCGTCCTCTTTCTCAGTCACAGTGCAAGATCCGGAGGAGGAGGGAGGGGATGGTCGTTAGGAGCCGTACCGCATCGGACATCACTTCACAGCCCCGAACACTGACAAGAATTGGACGGGCAGCGTAATCGCCCACTCCTGAGGGGAAAAGGGGAGGGGGAGTTGTGTAATTCCTCTTTTGGATTGTGAATCGTTGAAACATAAGGCGCAGGTTGCCAGCTGCTGGTCCAAGACGAAATAAGCCAAACAAAAAGCTCAGGTGGGCTTTCAACTGAACATCCAAGAATGGGAGGGGAGGACTGCAGATACCGAGATTTTCTCCAAACAGGAGTAAAATCGTTTCCCCCGTGGAAGGTGAGAAATGTTGCTTTGCTCAAACAATACCTAAGAAGGACATAAATCGCAGAATTAAGCTTATCAATAACTCATAAAGTCTCAAACGAATGACAGGAACGAGAAAAGCTCAGAAATACAGAGAGGCCTCTTTTTTTTTTTCCCAGGAAAGCGGAGCTGCAGCTCAGTTAAGCGAACGGCATGGCTCAAAGGTCCATTTGGTGGCTCCGCCAAATATTTCAATGTTGCTCTCTGTCCAGGAGAAAACGTTCCCGGCTAGTGCTTTGCTGTTGCAGGTTGCCAAGTTGTAGATCTCGCTGACGGAAAGTTTCCTGTTCCAGATGTTCAGGTTGGCGAGCTCGCCGACGAAGGCCTGCGTCGCGTCGAAACCTCCGCCCAACGTGTCCTGTGGAGCCAAACAACAGGAGGTGGTCGTCACAATCAAATCTGACCATTTAACATAAATCAAGGATACAATCCTGCACATTCTGGATGTTTCTCACTGAGCTGTGTCTGTTCAGAGACTAGACGGTGGGAAAAACCCTCAAAATTACAGAAAATGACATAAACTGGTAGTTGAAGTTTCATTGAACTCGGAGGGTTTACAGCCACGTGGATGCGTTTTGAGCTGCAGGTGTTTGTTTTTTAATCACAACCTGTTTGGAAAACTGCATTCTTGGCCACGCCCACTTTTACGCTCTGCATGGAGATCAGCTGATCAGCTGCAGGAGGAAGCTTATCCTGCCGCGTGGGCTGCACAAAGGTGCAGAAGGTGCTAAATAATTGAAAATAATTTATTTTTAAATAAAAATGCCATGCCGATCGTGCGGCTCATCCATCAATCAGCCAACTGTCTGATCTTATTTTGAAAAACCGCGATACAGCGGTCCTGTCATCCGTGAAAACCGAACCGCGAATTAGAGATGAACTACTGTATTCCCACTTTGGCAGCCGCCCCCAAAGTTTATACTAGAGTACAGTCTAAACAGGAAGAGCGGCCATTTCATATCAGTTTAGACAGCTCCCGAACTCTGTGACTGGTTAGGGAGAAAATCTGTTGTGTACATTATTTTAATGGGGCTGTGCACCTCTGTGGTCCTTAACGAGGAATTTGATTTCACCATGAAAGTTGCAAGACATTTGGGAGACTCCCTCGTGAATTCTGCTCACCACAAACCATAGCCCAGTGAGATACAACCTTGTAAGTCCAGTCGAGGTGCTCTCTGGGCGGACTATAACTTCAGTTCAAGTGACTCTAAGGCACTCTCTCCTGAAATTTGTTCAAACGTCTTCATTATTTGCAGCGAAGTCCGAGTCTTCTGGACCAGTAACTCCACATTTGCTCCAGTGTTCTGTTTTTTCCCCATCTTTCCAAAACTGCATCATTTCTAGAAATGTTTTCATCCACACGGAAACCCAAAACACAGCTCCAAATGCTGTAGTTACTGTTCCAGGCCTGTGTGTGGCGCTGTTCCACAAAAATGCACCAGAAACGGGAAACGAGACGCGGCGCAGACCCTCCGAGCAAGTGACGGTGAATGCAAGAGCATTAAAGTTCTTCTTGTGGACAGAAGTTCTGCTTCGTGTCAAATTGAACTACCGTTGACGGGACGTCGTGTCGGTCCAATTCTGTGGACGTTATGGATATTTTCAGGTTCAGTGTCAGGAGGGGGACGGAGGGAAGCTCTTCTCTCGTAATGTTCAAGAGTTTCAGGGAAAATTCTTTATGCTCAGATGTTTTTTTCTGAAACTATTCTCGTTTTCCACTTTGATGTATACTGTAATTGTTTTTACGCAACTTTTTTGTGTTTCTGACTCTTTAGTAAGGTGATACAAATCTTCGCAGACTTGGATTATTTGGTGCAACATTAAGGGTATCTTTAGCAGGAAACAAAGTGTCTGAAACACAAACACCATCTGTTGTTATTGGGGGCTGCAGGTGAGCAGGGGTGGGTTGAGTTCTGGCTGTCCACATGGTCTTAAAAGATTTAGCAAACTCCAAAACGACCATTTATGAGCTGCTAAAATCTCATTTCCAAGTGGACACAATGAGGAAACAGAACACCGTCCCTGTGCAGACGGGGCTGCTGTAACTCAGGAGCTTTTACTGGTCCAGTAGAATAAATTAATTTTAGATGACCGTGCAGAGTGTCTTACTGAATCAGGTCTGTTGGAGCACAGAAACATCTAAAACATGCATGTTCCCCTCGAGGAACTGGAATTAAGCTGCACCATTTTAACGTCTGACAAGCTGAAATGGTTCGTCTATATGATGTTGCTCCAAGTGGCATCGTTTTAAAACGTTTTCCTTTTGGAAAACTTTTACTTTTTTTTAAAGAAACACAGCCATTAAAGGAAAAAGCAGACAATCTATTTAAAAAGGGAACAGCTTGATGTTTTCTTTCATTAGTGAAGTCTGACACTAATTTCCCTGGTGCCAATTTAAGAGTCTGCTCTCACTTTGTGCGACGTTTCACTGTGAGATGAAATCCGTTTGTGTTTCTCTTCCTGAAATCAGACCAAATTGACGGTAAACACTCCAACTAACACCCTAATTAGGCTGCTGAACCTTAACTGGCCACCTCAGAGGAGTCCCCACAGCCTCATTACACAAATGTATCCACCTCTAATCCCGCTCCAAAATGAAAAGGATAATTAATTAAGGATTGGGTCCAAAAGAAACAAATTTCCACCTGCTCCTGTCCCAGGACCAGCACTCCGTCTGGTTTGATGGGGTGGTATGGTGCCAGGTTCTCCCCGTTTCCCCGCATCACTCCATCCTGGAAGGCCTCCCACATCCCGTCCCGGGTGGTCCACGTGATGCAGAGGTGGTGCCACTTCCCATCGTTGATGAGAAACGGCAGCTTTGCAACCTGCAGAGGTGAAATCTGATAAGTGTCTCCTGTTCTGGTTCTTGTCTCCTCTGCACACGACTCAAAATGGCGTTACCTTGTCATTGATGAGGAACTCCATGGGGTTGTTGCCCCACTCGATCAGCACCAACTCGTTGGACTGACCCGGGACGGCGTAGGAGAACGGCGTCCCCACCCCAGGGGAGGCGTTGGACTTGATCCACAGACACACACTGAAGGAGTACATCTCAGGGAGGCTCCTCTTGGCTTTGGCGTACATGTAGTTGGTTCTGAGGGGGAAGGTCAGCTGGAACTCATCTGTCGGCCTGCTGTCTTTACCTGCAGGTGAAGGAACACGTGATTTTTGTAAAAAGATCATTTCAAACTTTTATTTTATTTATTTTTAGATGGACTTTTCTTTCCAGAATGACTCTTATTTTAATTTAAATTAACAAGTGTTTGGAAAATATATTTCTTTAGATCTTTTTCCTGTTTTTTAATGCCTTTTTCCTCCTTTTTTCACAAGCACGCGCATATGCACGTGCTGAAATACTGCCTCAACATGAAGGCGCGTCCTTCAAAGTTCCTCTGCCTCTGCAGCAGGAATCCTTTTTGCGTTTTGAGTTCTTAACAATCACCATAAAGGCAGCAAACAGAACCCACGGGTTCCGAAACTCGCTTTATTTCCCTGAAACAGACCCGAGATGCGAAAACAAACAAACAAACAAACAAATAAAAGATGCGCCCCAGTCCCGCAGAGGCGCACTGAAACGGAGCGGAAGTTCCGCGCGCGCTGGAATCCAAACGCACCTTTCTCCATGTCTGAGATCCGGTGGTGCAGGGAGGTGAGGGTGGACTCCACCCGGTTCCGCTGCTCCGTGTCGTTCCTGGAGCCCGCTTTGCTCTCCTCCAGCGTGTTGACCCGGGACAGAACCTGCTTCTCCATGTCGTCTATCTTGTTCTGCAGCAGGTCCTTCAGGCTGTTCGCCTGCGCGGTGCCGTTCCCGCGGCTGTACTGCTGCAGCGGAAACACACGCACACGCGCGCGCACACACACACACACACACACACACTGGGTTACAGGGGGATCGACAAAAGTTGCAACACACCCCGAACTTATAAATGGAAATCTGTAATTCCAGTATCTCCATGACGCGCGCAGGCGAGAACATGAAGCTCCAGCAGTTTTAATTAACTCCTAAATTAACCTTTGACCCCCCCGGAGCGCCTCCCTCCTCGGGTCTCCTACCTCCAGGTTCTCCAGTCTCTGTTTGAGGGTCTGTAAAGTCTGCCCCAGCTGGGCCAGCGTGTCCGCGGTGCCCCGGGATACATCCATCATGGTGTTCTTGGCCCCCGGCCGCCTCCCGCCGGGGCCCCCCACCCCCACCGGGAGGCTCTGGCTCTCACAGCGGCTCAGCTTGGACGTTAGTTCCCTGATTGTCTCCTTCTGGTTGACGATGGTCTCCTTCTGCTGCAGCACGGTCTCGCGCAGCTGCGTGATGGTGCTCTTCAGGTCCTCCGCCGGCCCGCTGCTCTGCATCGAAGCGGCGCACAAGTCCACGTCTTTGGGGACCGACGTGCAAATAAACTGCGTGCGTCCGAAGTCCTGCGCGCGGCTCCGCGCTGCGGCCAGCAGGCAGCAGAGGAGCAAAAGTTTCCGCGAGCATCCCTCCATGGTCCCGGTGTCGAGTCGCGGCTGAGTGGGAGCGTGTGAGCGCGCGCGTCTTCAGCACCACGGAGCTGTCCTCTGAAGCTGCGCGCTGCGCCTTTATAAAAGAGCGCAACTCCACCGCATCACTGGGGGGGGGGGGCAGCCGCTCCTGCTACACCTCCCGCCGCCTCTTTAAGGTCGTCCTCACAGTTCTTCTGAGCTTCATCCAAAACCAAATGTCTCCAACAAATCTGTGATGGCAGGAAGGAATGCTTTTAGGAATAAACCACGAGAGTTAATGTTTTGGAACAATTCACTGTTAATTTAGACTTAAAACACAATAAAACACCAAAAAAATACAAATATAAATACGGAAAGACAATTTGAATAAACCAAAATAAGAAGTAAAAATAACATCAATGACATTTTTAAAACAAAAACAATAAAAGCAACCATCAGTTGATCAGTTATGTTCATGTCCTCGGGTTTAAAGTGACATAAAAAAAATGTTTTTCAATAATAATTAATAAAGTTTCACTTCATAATTAAACTCTCAATATATAAAAAAAAACTGAAATGTATTTCATATAACTGTCCACAAATGTTTATTCGTCAGCTTAAGTCAAATAACTTAATATATCCGAATGACAAACGCCCTAAATTTGAATAAAAAACAATTTTAACATTTTGCAGGAACATTGATTTATTCTTCTCAAGGCAGTATTTATGAGAAATATCCCTGTAGTTTGTTGCACTCTAAGTTTTTAAATATATGTACTTTTATTGAGTAATTTTCAGCTTCAGGCTTCATGATGTGAACCTTAAACGAGCCCGGGCCTTCTCCCACAGATCCAGCTGTCCTGCAGATACAGTCCCACCTGAGTCCAACAACAACAACAACAACAACAAGTGTTTCAGGGAGTCTGCGCCTCAGCTGGTATCACGGCTCAGGCAGCTCAAGTTCTGCAGGGTTTTGAGGTTTCTCAGTCAGTCCGGAGGCAGTCATGTTAAATCTCACCACTACAGCAGCCGAGGCGCTAAAAGGGAAGGCAAATGTTTCCAAATAATTAAACAGACTCTTATGTAACTCCCCCCGCAGCTCTGGTATTAATAAATAAGACACCCAGAGAGGAGGGGAGCTCAGCACTTTGGCATGTAGGAATCAGCGCTGATGGAGCCTGAGCTGGCCCAAATCCCAGAGGAATACTCCAAATGCTTCATCAGGAGCAGCGTCTCCCCTGAAGCACGATCAAAATACATATTTCAAAGCAAAATATTTATTTAGACTGATCAACACCACTACACACTAAGTTAGTGTTTTAACCATCTATATTCTTATTATTCTGCTTGCAAAGAGGTAAACAAATAATGGATTTAGCAGTATTGATCATTTTTTTGTTTAAAAACAACACATAAACTCTCGATTAAAGATTAAATGAGTGTTTCTTTCATTAAACAACGCCTGAAAAAGTAAACGTTGTACAAAATGAC